ACAATAATTCTGTGCAATGAAAGATATATGCACACACACACACACACACACACACATACATATATATATATATATATCCCGTGTGCAGAATGATGCACTTATAGCATCATGGATTCAGAGCACACAGCTCTTTGCATTGAAACTTTTATGATAAAACCATAGATTAGGGGTGGCGAACATTGGTCCTGGAGAGCCGCAGCCTTGCAGAGTTTTGCTTCAACCCTAATCAACCACACCTGAACAAGCTAATCAAGGTCTGAAGGGTTACTAGGAAGCTACAGGCAGGTGAGATTTTATTAGGGTTGGAGCTGATCTCTGCAGGGCTGCGCCTCTCCAGGACTGGAGTTCGCCATCCCTGCCATAGACCTTTATTTACAAATCAAATATAATAATGGGAACTTTACAGTGACATGGAATTCGATTGCTGAATATAGAATGACAGACAGCCACAGCGGAGAGAATAGTTTACGTGATCTTTAATTTAACAACTTAACTATTAATTTGTATTCGTATTGTATTTGTATTGAATGGCTTCAGAAGACTTTGGAAACACCCCCAAATCCTATCAAATCCTTTGGATAGAATTTTAATCCTATCCAAATCACATTTCTGGAAATCAATTTCTGTCTGACCGATTATCGGATATCACATTTTTTGTGTGTTGCTTTTTCACTCTACATAAAACGTAAATATGTCAGGCGCTGCTGTAGGAAACATGCTGGAAGTCTGTGGTGGAGGCGGTGTTGTTAAGTGAAGCCAGTATCCAGAGAGCGAGACTGTTGGATAAGCTTTAATGAGAGAGTCAACTGATAAATACTAACAGCTGTTTTCACTCTGTTTGCGATATAAAAACATTTGTGAATAGAGTACGCAGAATAAATGAGTACACCCCCTTGGAATAAATACAAAAGATGCATTTGCTTAATGAGCACTAATTCAATTCAATTGAATAAAAACAGAGAAATGTGTCATTAATACCTGTAAAATAAGTAAATTAGCCAATTTTGTTTAAATAAAGCATTGAAGAAATGAGTACACCCTAGATTTAATTCAACAAATGTATAATATTCTAGTACTTAGTATGTCCTCCATAAATTTAAGTATACTACTCTGACCCTTCTTGGCACTGAGTGTACAAGTTCACATCATCTTGTCACATCTGTCGTTTATATCCTGGAAGATGACCACCTTAAATGCCCTGGGCCCGGTTCCCCAAAACGTTCTTATCGCTAAGTAGTTCTTAACCTATTCCTTAACCTCTCTCTTAACGTTATGGCACGATTCCTGACACGTTTGTACGCTAAGTATATCTTCTGTAAGTCACACTTTCGAAAGGTTGGTCTGGACCATTCGTAAGCTCTCTCTTTGCGTTGTTTGAGCTCAAGACGCTAGTCGCCGCCACTGTGCAGCAGTCTTTAGAAATCAGCGCAGCGCAGTACAAGTCTGAGCCAAATGTACAAGTCTGAGCCAAATGTTGTGGCTCAACAATGATTTTATGTTATGGACATTTTAAGACTAATAATAAAATATGTTCGCAATGGATACAGGCCTATTTATGAAGTTGACTTTATTTGGTATCAGAACTAATATGGTGGTAATTAGCCAAGGCTATTTCGTAAAGTCATTAAAGCGTTTAAATTGGCAATCACTTTTGATAATTAAAATCTGGCAAACAATTTGGCTCTAAATGGCTAAGATCTATAAATGGGTAAGCATGGTGGTGTCCAGTAAGCGACCATCTACACACACACACACATACACATGCCACTTAGGAACATAAACAACTTTGGTAAGATATATCTTTCGAGTCTTCTTAGCGCGCTAAGAGTGAGCATTATCGGAGAACCGGGCCCTGGTCTTTAATGGAGAGTTTTTATCAACTCAGAATCCCCCACAGGTGCTCAAGAGTGTTAAGTTTGGGTGAAATATATGTCCACTGAAGGATTTTCTCCTTGGGAGAATGCATATCATCATTGTCATGTTGAAAAAATGCCCAACCACTCAGGGAATGAGAAGAGGGTTTTCTGTTTCAAGTTTTTGTATTAAATCACACAGTGGCTAATGACAGCATTGATTAAGCACAACTCTCTCACACCTTTAGCACTCATACATCCCTATAGAAGAGCTTTACTACCACTTCACTTCACTGTGGAAACCAGTTTGGTTTTTAAAAAAGTGGACAACTGGAACTCTTTTACTTACAAGATTAAATTCAGTCTAAGTAATTTTGTATAAAAGCGTTTGTTAAATGTTTAACAGTATATGCATCTTGTACCGCTCTACACAATTTTACACACTACTCTAAACATACTACATACTGGTCTGTGTTATTTGAGTCAAATGCTCTTTATGAAACCATGGCTGTATACCAGTAAAAGAAACATTATACAAATGATTCCACACAGCTCCGGGGGGTTAATGAAGGCCTTCTGAAGTGAAGAGTTTGTATAAGAAAAATATCCATATATAAAACTTTATAAATTGCAATCTCTAGCTTCTGTTAACTGACGTATGTGCGTCCACTAAATTGTGGCGTTCCAGCGGATGACGTAGGACTTTAGGCCATTATAAAGATTGGAAGAGAAAGGACATTTTTTAACACAACTTTGATTGTATTAGTCTGAAAGAAGAAAGTCATATACACCTAGGATGGCTTGAGGGTGAGTAAATCATGGGGTAATTTAAATTTTTTAATTATCCCTTTAAGGCACTGCCTTGTCTTAATGCTCTGAAATGTATGCATGTGCATTAGCTGAACCATTTCTGCTAAAGAATCAATCATTGGATTAATCATTCAACCAATCAATCAATAAAAAAGTAAACACACACCTCCTTGGTATCCCAGACCTCAGCTCCATCTGTGTACATCACCAAGAGTTTTTGGTTGCCTTTCCCAGGAGCAAAACGAATCTTCTTCACCCACCCACGGTGTGTAGGTACAGCCCTGAAAAATATAAACAAATCTGACATTTTAAAGGGGTTCTATTATGCTTTTTTACTTTTCAACTTTAGCTAGTCTGTAATGTTGCTGTTTGAGCATAAAAAAGATCTGCAAAGTTACAAAGTTCAAAGTCCCGATATTTTATTTAACAGAAATCACTTTTCAAAAACTACAACGAATGACTCGTTTGGACTACAACGCATATTTTCTGGGATTTGTGATATCACAAACATCGATGAATGGGACGAGACCTGGTTGAGCTGCTCTAGAGAAGGCAACAAGTGTTAACACTATGGCGGAGACACGCTAGCTTTCCCAAGGCAACGAATTTAGAGTGGTTACAATTATCCGGGTTTAAATCGCGCTCAAATTGATTTGATTTTGACGCAATATTTATACTGAAGCTCGCAGGCGGCTATGGTAAGGGGCATGACATTTCCCGACCAGGCGCCGAGTGCTGCCAATCACAACACACACTGGCCCAGTTAACCAATCACAGCACATTTCGTATTTCAGAAGGCGGGCCTTCATTTGATACAGGAACTATTTGAGCCGTTCATGCCAGACTGGGGAGAGAGGTGTTGTAATAATGTAAAATATGTGAAAAATAATGTTTTTCCGAACAACCTAGTATGAGAGCCTGTTCTAGTACACCCCCAAAACAAAATCAAGACTTTGTAAAAGAACATAATAGGACCCTAAAAGCAACTCAAATATGGGATGCAGAGTCGTATATTTCCAGCTCGGTCCTTAATTAGGTTTCATTTCAGTTAGGATGCTGTCATATAAAGTAGTTCACAGAGTTTTGGAATTAAATCAGTTTGCGCACATACATGCATGGAGACACATTTTACTTGCTGGGTCTTCAGTAATATATATTTTTACCTTGAAAGTCGAGCCTTTAGGTCCCAAAAATTGAGGTTTCCATCTACATCTCCCAGAACTAGGGTGTCTCCTTTCCATGTAATACAGGCAATGCTTCCCATACTGCCCTGGAAGAGAGTAGAAAAACTTCAGTTTCTTGCACACAAGACATAGGACACTGCTAATATGTCATAATCAGATAATCAGAATATGATATAAGTGACGTGACATGTGGCCAAGTATGGTGACCCATACTCGGAATTAGTGCTCTGCATTTATCCCATCCAAAGTGCACACACACAGCAGTGAACACACACAAACCGTGAACACACACCCGGAGCAGTGGGCAGCCATTTATGCTGCGGCGGCCCGGGGAGCAGTTGGGGGGTCGGTGCCTTGCTCAAGGGCACCTCAGTCGTGGTATTGAAGGTGGGAGAGAGCGCTGTACATTCACTCCCCCCACCTACAATTCCTGCCGGTACGAGACTCGAACCCACAAACTTTGGGTTATGAGTCCAACTCTCTAACCATTAGGCCACAACTTCCCCATATGATATGTGATATTACCAGTTGTCATAGACATTTGCTATTTGACATGGTGCAAGGACCCTCTTGGAAATACTCTGTTTATTATTACTGAAAGTGAGCAGGATACCATTGTTTTCCTGAATATTATTTCTTTTTCATTTCATTTATTTCAGTTTTCCAGTTTTACTGACATTTTTCCTGATATGTAAGCATTTTCCGTAGTTGGATATCGGTTTAGTAATATTGGATAAACACAAATTTTGTGAAAATTTGACCAAGAGCCTAGGAGTAGCTTGAAAAACTATGTTTTCAACAAAATTCAGCAAGCTCAGCCAAATATAGTATAATAGGTAATGATGGTCTCGTCATGACCCAAGGAATCTTATAAGATCAGTCTCATGCCAATAGGCAAAACGAATAAATCATTATAATTTTGATGACAAGATGGCACTGTCTCCAAACTTTACCTCAGGGCATGGTGCCAATGATACATACTGACTTTTTAAATTAAATTCTTCTTTTTTTTTTTAATGAGAAACTTTTAAAGGGTTAACACCTAAAATAGTGGACATGGAAATCTGATATCGCCTTGAGCAGTCTTGTGATTTTCGGCCCAACTGTTCTTATTGACCAAATACTTATTTTCCAAGGTCCTAAGTATATATATATATATATATAAAACATCCAGTGTCCATCTCTTGACCAGTAGGAGACACTAGGGTTGTGCCGATAGACGATAGTATTGTGTATCGACGATAGTCAGAGATATCGACTATAACAGATGTCTCTGTCGATAGTCAAGATGATATTAGACTCATACTCCTATTAACGTATTAATAATAATAATAATAATTATTATTATTATTAGGCGGCCCATTATAATTTATCTATTATCAAATTGGCCCGCTTTTTCATTCAGCACTGTATTTCACACACACACGCACGCGCGCAAATGAGGAGCCTGTAGCCAATGAAGGAGTCTCCAACCACAAACACAGATACATATCGTCTGCTGATATATAACGTATTTTGTTGCACTTTAACAAGTAATCTGAACGGCCTATATATGTGCAATATTTTAACCGAGCCCTCACTAACTGAGTTTAATGCCACAGTTATGTTAGAACGCATCTCATGGGGCGCACAGTCAGGAGCGCTTTATGACTGATGTATCTGTTTAATTTAAATTTACTCCAAATATATGAACTTACCCGTTTTAAATACTTTATATTTAACGTGTTCGTTTATGTCCAATATTTAGTGTTAAACTGTTGGTCTTGAAAATAAATCTACTTTTGATTTTCACCGTTGACTGATTTTGCAGACCAGACTGATAACTTCCATGCTCTGATGCGGTAAACTTGTCACAGGACGTGCGGTCCTAATAGCGATGTATGACTGTTGTATCCGAATATATATGAAATAGCTGATTTAAATATTTTTGTATTTAACATGTTAGTTTATCAGTATGTTTGAAAGTATATTATTTAGATTCGTGGTGCTTCCATAGGCTCCCTCTCTCTCGTGTGGTTTAAAACACCAAATAGGTATGAAATAGCTTATGACAAGTACAGTGAGTCTGAGTCTATCGGCGATCTCACGGACTGGTGATATTACGATTTGAAAAATTACCATATCGCCCAACACTAGGAGACACTGTGCCAAAGCTGCTTATATCATGGATGTCACAGCAGCATCATATAACCAAATTTATTTCAAAAATGATAACTGGATGCCACTTGCTGCAAACATGGAATAAAGCAAGGTCACTGCAATGACAACAAAGTAACAAATTAATGTTTGAAATGTCCAAAACTGCATACTGAACAACTGTTTTGCATTAAAAAAAAGTTAAGCAAGCAAGTGTCTTGAACATTCAGAGAATTGATGCAACAAATTAAAAGAATAGATGAACAGAAAGACACTGATAATCAAGTATATTAGTTCTTGTTTTACTGGTTATGCTGAAGAGAGAAATGGGTTGCTTATAAACACAAAATATGCACAGTGAAAAAAGAAAAAAAAACGGATCTGAACAAATAATCAGAAATAAGTACACTGCGGAAAAAAGCCCCACAGGAGATGAAAGGATAATGAGGACAAAGGAGGGAGCAATTTTCTCTCCATCTCCTCTTTCATCAGAAAAGTTTGAAACTGCAAATGTTATACTCTCAAAACACTGCAAGGGAATGTTTGAAAATGCTTTTGATCCATGTAGAGAGTATGTACAGCTGTATCAAGGATATTCAATGATGTCCAAAATGTGCATTTAAAAACAGAATTTGCCTTCTACACATATGGCTGCTACTTAAGACAAAACAGGCTACAAGAGTGCAAAAAATAAAGGTTTATGAATTCAGGAATTATTTTGTATTATTTGGGTGTAACCTTGACTTTCTCACAAAATGTGTGAGAAAATGTAGCATTCACAATGATAAATAAATACATTGAGAATACTGGATTGTTTCAAACTAATTTTCAGCTTTTTATCAAATTGTCACCACAATCAGAGAGATAATTTGACTGACATGGTGAACATACTTTTTAATCCTTTAATATAACAATATTGTGTTATAATGTTATAATGAGAGGATTTGCAAGTGAGAAGAACTCAGCACTGAACAAAAATGGCGTTTTGAGTGGTGAATGGGTTCTGATGAACTAATTGGCTATTGTGATCAAGAAATCAACAGAGATTGGCTACATTTCTCAATGCTGCAAAACACATTGAAAATAGAAACCTTTGACACTCAGCAAACACATATGCACTGGAGTGACTGCCAGAAAAAGAGAGAAAAACTGTTGGCCAATATGCTATTATTTTGCAGTACATTCCAGAATATCCCTTGCTCACAAGTATTACAATGCAAATATGACGCATAACAATGCCATGACGGGCCAGACTAAAATCTACCCATATAACCTTACCTTGAATGACTGATGTCTGTTCTAATGTCTGATGCCTGGGTTTTGAATTGAAGAAGTTGATAATTTTGTCATAATCCAAGTTTTCTGTTATATATAGATGGCTGTTTTTATTATAAACATTCAAGGAAACTGTTATTTGGAATCCAGACAGACAGAGCTATCAGCGCAAAGAACGTAACATAACTGGCGCAACGTAACTTACTAATTACTAAGATACTAATTAGCATAATACTATTGTCATTATTATTATATCGTTCTAATGAAACACATGACAACACAAATCACATTTAAGGTCGTATTAAAAAAAATAAATAAATAAAAAAAAAGGGAGCAATTATTAGAAAATGGAAGACATACAAGACCACTGATAATCTCCCTCGATCTGGGGCTCCATGCAAGATCTCACCCCGTGGGGTCAAAATGATCCCAGAACCACACGGGGGGACCTAGTGACTGACCTGCAGAGAGCTGGGACCAAAGTAACAAAGGCTACCATCAGTAACACACTGCGCTGCCAGGGACTCAAATCCTGCAGTGCCAGATGTGTCCCCCTGCTTAAGCCAGTACATGTCCAGGCCTGTCTGAAGTTTGCTAGAGAGCATTTGGATGATCCAGAAGAGGATTGGGAGAATGTCATATGGTCAGATGAAACCAAAATAGAACTTTTTGGTAAAAACTCAACTTGTCATGTTTGGAGGAGAAAGAATGCTGAGTTGCATCCAAAGAACACCATACCTACTGTGAAGCATGGGGGTGGAAACATCATGTAAGAAACAAGTGTAAGAAATTACACTTTGCTACAATGTAAAGTAGTGAGTGTACAGCTTGTATAACAGAGTAAATTTGCTGTCCCCTCAAAATAACTCAACACACAGCCATTAATGTCTAAAACGCTGGCCACAAAAGTGAGTACACCCCCAAGTGAAAATGTCCAAATTGGGCCCAATTAGCCATTTTCTCTCCCTGGTGTCATGTGACTCATTAGTGTTACAAGGTCTCAGGTGTGAATGGGGAGCAGGTGTGTTAAATTTGGTGTTATCGCTCTCACTCTCTCACACTGGTCACTGGAAGTTCAACATGGCATCTCATGACAAAGAACTCTCTGATGATCTGAAAAAAAGAATTATTGCTCTACATAAAGATGGCGTAGGCTATAAGAAGATTGCCAAGACCCTGAAACTGAGCTGCAGCACCGTGGCCAAGACCATACAGCGGTTTAACAGGACAGGTTCCACTCAGAACAGGCCTCGCCATGGTCGACCAAAGAAGTTGAGTGCACATGCTCAGCGTCATATCCAGAGGTTGTGTTTGGGAAATAGACGTATGAGTGCTGCCAGCATTGCTGCAGAGGTTAAAGGGGT